ACCTTCCCCCCCCCCCCCCCCCCCCCCGGCTTATTTCAAGCAAATAAAGCTTGATCCTACTCAGGTGGAAGCTCTGGAGTCAGCAGTAACTTGGGAGAAGGGAGCACACAATTGAAAACAAGTGGGCCTGCTTTCTGGAGGGAGTGATCCGCCAGGTGCTTGTCCCACCTAGTGGTTCAGTAACCTTCCAGCCCCAGCGCCAGGCCCACCTGCAGGGGAACCAAGAGGCCATGCGTGGGCGCCGCTCAAGGCCCTTGCTCTCGCTCTGACCTTGCCGGCTCATCTGCTTCTGGCAGCTGTTGCCCAGCGGACAGAGAAATGCTGAGCATCGAGCTAAACTTCTGTGATCCCAGCAGATGCATTTTGTACAGAATGAAAAGTCACTGCACAAAACTGTCTCTTATTCCTCCTCATGTTGGATTCTTACCTCTCCATCTAGTCTGGCGTCACCAGGAAAGCTAGTGGGAATCAGTGACGAGACGGCTGGCCTGGCTGTTTGTCTCACTGCAATTAGAGGTTCATGCTGACAGGCCGCAGGGCAGAGTTTTGGTCCTTGTAGCCGTGACGTCCCTTGGACCCCAGTCCCTCTGACAGCAAAGGTGGGATGCATACAATCTCACATTGAAACCCAACGTAAACAAGTCGAAGGGCATCGAACTGATGGGAAAAGATGGAAGCGGGTAGCTTCACAGATTGAGGTGTGCGCTGTTTACTCAGGCCGCTGAAATGCAGGTGCCACTTACATCAGCCAGGTTTTGTTGTTGTTCGTTGATTAATACCGGCAACAGGCTGCTCTGAAAAAGCATACTGGCCACTTACAGTCAGAGAAAGGCAGGAGCCAGGGCTGCCCAGAGCTCGCAGGAAGGCCTCTCCCAGGGGCTGTGTGGCTGCATCGTACTTCCTGTCTTCAAGGAGCTTGCAGGCCACCTGAGGAGCTGCAGATGTGCAAAGCGACACCAGCAGCAGGTGGAAACCACAGGATAGAAAAGGAGGGTGTCACCTGGCTTTAACTGTCAAGTAATCAGAAAGACAAAAAATGACATCTGAGTACAGAGGAGAGCAAGGGTCCTCAGGCCAAGATTCCAAGTATCCTGGGGGCGGGAGATGACTGCAGGGAGTGGGGCTCTGTGAAAGGAAGAGCCTGGGAAACCTGTAGAAAAAGCCAAAACTATCATTTGAAGAGACATTTTTGAAAAATTATTCCATGCTAATGGAGTGTCCAAGAAAACTTCTGGACTATGCATGGCTGTGCATGCTGTGGACCTGGAGTGATTCAATTTTAAAAATATATTTTATTGATTTTGTATAGAGAGGAAGGGAGAGAGTCAGAAACATAGATGAGAGAGAGTCATCGATCAGCCGCCTCTTGCACACCCCCTACTGGGGATATGCCCGCAACCAAGGTACATGCCCTTGACCGGAATCGAACCCGGGACCTTTCAGTCCCCAAGCCGACGCTCTATCCATTAAGCCAAACCGGTTTCAGCTGGAGTGATTCAATTTTAAAGTGGCCTGTGAGAAGTCTGCCTTTCCCCCTACAACAGGGTGGGGGCAGGGGCCTGAATCTCCTTGCCCTGCCCTGGTGGTTTCTGACACTGCAGGGGAAACCGTGGTTTGGGTGTAAGCAGGAACTATCTGTGGAGGTTTAGAGATGCACAGCCATCTTGCAGGGTCTGACTACAGCCTCACTCTGCCAACTCTGATCTTGAGAGCGTGTCCAGTGACGACGTGTGCACTGTACCTGTCTGCCGTGGTTTTCTGGCTCCTCCGGGCAGGCGCCCCCCCTGCTGGGCTCCTCTGCACATGCCGCTCATTGCTCCGGGGTGTCACCTGGGAGACAGCATGAGGGTTAGACACTGTGCCCGCCGTGACAGCCGTTTGGTGCACAGTCCATTCTGGCTGGTCAGTGTCCCAGTTCTTAGGGCCTAGTCTGACCTCACAGGCTGACCACCTTCAGCCACAGCTTCCAGGGGGGCTGGAGGCCTGGAACTGCCATCCCCCAGCATCTTTAGCGGGTCAGGAATGTTCTCACCCGGTGACTGGGGGCACATGCCTTTGGCTGTCACAGGTGACTCCTGGCCTGCAGAGGGCTTCAGCCGTGTCCCCAGGCCCGGTGGTCGTCCAAAGCAGCCACCCTGAGGATGAGCTCTTTTCTGAGTGTGTGTGGTGGTGACAGGGCCCTCTCCCCCGGGTGTGCTCCAGGCCTCGCCACCCCTCCCTCTGCACTCACTATAAACAGGAGCCCTGGGTATCCATCCGCTCCTGACTGGAAACAGGAGCAGAGGTGGTAGAAATGGCAGCTCCAGGTCAGATGCACAGTGAGGGAGTAGTGACCGGGACCCTTGTTCCCAGCCAACCTGCGAGGAACACAGCCGAGCTCCAGGCCTGCCCCTTCTGGGTTTCTCTGCTCCTCCTGGGAATGCAAGTGTCACAGTCAGAGACAGAGGCGCTGAGAAGGCCGGGCCCTGTGCCCATGAGCAGGCACAGAGGCGCTCCATGCACACTGCCTCGCGGTGAGAACTGATTTATTCTGCCTGCATCTGAGTGTGTGTGAATCAGCACGGCTCTCGCCTGTTTAAGATGGCAGTTGGTCTGCACAGAGCTTCCCCCTGTTCTGAAGTCCCGAGGGACCCCGCCTTTGCTCACCCCAAGCTGCAGGGCTCTCCGCTGTCCCCCACTGAAAGGTGTGGCACCATGTGGGGAGGAGGAGGCCCGGGAGGCTGTAGCTTTCACAACCACTGGCCCGCCACCTCAATTGAGAAACTTGCCATCCCGATTCTGTTTTGAGAATCTTTTTTTCTTGGGAAAGCAGAAAACAAAGTCCTCCTGCCCCTTCACTTTATAGAAGGGGGACCAAGTTCCAGTAAGATGCCTGAGCAGGTTTGGTAAACTGTCCGTGGAGATAAACGGTGGAAGGAGTGAGGAGCCAGTAGGAGGGCAGCATTAAAGAGGCTCCACCCCAGCAGAGCATCTTGGCCTCTGATTTAAAGAGAAGGCACCCTAGAAAGCAGGTGCTCTCCTCACCCTGTTTATATGTGGAAACTGAGGCATCACATTCACAGAGCAAGCATGTGAGTGAACGTGCCCAGAGCGGATGGGGATGGAGGCTTGTGCTATTTCCCAGCTTCTCCGGCCCCCACGCCCAGAGGCCACAGAGCACTTACTGCGTCACCGTCTTCGGCACCTGCCTAGGGAACGGCACTCCGCAGCCTCCAGCAGAGCAGGTATCTTTCCCAGTGACATCTTCTCGACTTCCGGTGTGCAGTGAAGGCCTTTGCCACACACTCATTTACTGTCCCATGCAATTAAGGCTCGCTATTCGAGTTTTAAAAAAAAACCTGAGGGAAAATGACAGACGTGTTTTCATAAGAATTGCTTTTCTGACATGGATTAGTATTGCCTGCTTTACCACAGAGGGAAATGACCAAAAGCCTAGTTAACTAGAAAAAAAAAAATCAGAATGTGTACATTGTGATGTGAAATGATATTCCTAGTAAACAGAAGAACAACCATAGAATGCTCTACTGCATTTGTGGTTGCTGTTTCTTTACTTCACAAAAGTGGTTCAGACCCAGGAGACTGAGAAGGTCCTTGAGTGACAGAGGAGGGAAAATGGCTGGATGGGCGAGGGGACATCAGAGTTGTCCTTAATGCTTTTACTTAAAATCCGCCTGCAATGGAGCGAGGATGACAGTGGGCAAATGCATGGAGATGCAGTAGATGCCCTCACATTGAATATTGCACAGCTGTGCAGAAGAGAAATCCTGCCATTTGTGACAATATGGATGGACCTTGAGAGCAGGCATTATACTGAGATAATCCAGAAGTAGACAAATATTGTATTAATCTCACTTTCCTGCAGAATCTAAAAAAGCCAGACTCATAGAAACAGAGTAGGTCAGTGGTTACCAGGGGATGGGGGAAAGAAATGTTGGTCAAAGAGGACAAATTTCTAGTTATCAGAGGAATACGTTCTGGGGATCGAATGTACAGCATGGTGATTATAGCTTGTCACACGGTATATCTTAAGGACTTACACCACAAAAAAGAAATGGTAATTATGTGACATCATGCAGGTTTTGGCTAATCATTTTGCAATATATAAGTATCGCATCAACCTATGGTACAGCTTAAACTTCTATAATGCTCTATGCCAAGCATAACATTGCATAGCTCAAAAGCTGGAGGCATGCTAAGACCGGTTTGGCTCAGTGGATAGAGCATCGGCCTGCGGACTGAAGGGGTTCAATTCCAGTCAAGGGCATGTACCTTGGGTGCAGGCACATCCAAAGTAGTGGGTGTGCAGAAGGCAGCTGATCGATGGTTTTCTCTCTCATCGTTGTTTCTGTCTATCTCTCCCTTCCTTTCTGTAAAAAAAATCAATAAAATATTAAAAAAAAAAAAAAAAAAAAAAAAGCTGGGGGCAAATGAAAAAAGTAACTGAGAAGTCTAAGTCTGCCACCAGCTGAGGACAGAAAGCCTGAAGGAGGGAGGACAAGGGGAGGGGGAGTAAAGAAAGGATGAGGGGCTAAGCCAGGCCTAGAGGGGGCATGGCCCCTGCCAGCTCAGGAGCTCTACCTTGACCCTCACTGTCCTGGGCACCTGCCCCTCCAGCCCCAGCCCACCATACAGTCTTGGGAAGGCCCATCACCCAGAGACACACGCTTGTACTCGCCCCACCCGATCACACGTGAGAATCTGAGGGCAGCAATTCAGTGATCCAGCCACTTTGATCCTGGTTCCTGTCCCCGTTGCCACCGATCCACTTAATCCTGAGCAGGTACTCGGCTCGTGGCGGGATTTGTTTCACACGAAGGCATACAACGTGCCCGGTGACGCGAGCACCCCCCTTCCTCCCGCAGGACAGGTGACGTACTAAGATCTCCCGGCTGGATTTCTGAACGTGGCTCTGGGATCTGACACGCGTTATATAGTGCAGAATGCTGCGGGGACAGGGACACAAGTCTGACCTGTGTCACGCCCCCTTCTCTGTGTTGCAGCTGGTGAGTGATTTGTTGGAATTCTGCTTCTATACCTTCCGGGAGTCCCAGGCCCTGAAGGTGGAGTTCCCCGCGATGCTGGTGGAGATCATCAGTGACCAGCTGCCGAAGGTGGAGTCCGGGAACGCCAAGCCACTCTACTTCCACAGGAAGTGAGGGACTCGCTGCCGCAGAAGGACTTTGCCTTAAGTTCCCCTGTGTCGTTCCGCACCCACGAAGGACCCGAGAGATCGTTATTTCTAGCAGGTGATGGCGGAGCCGCCCTCGTGCAGCAGTCTCTGGAGTTTAAGGTCATGCTAAGGGTTTGGGGCCAGGTTAGAAGTTAAGACATGGATTTGGCAAGACCCGGACAGTCTACACTCTGAAGGACTCTTCCCCTCTCCAGTCCCCAGCGCTTAGAAACACGTTCCTCTGGATGAAAAGCCATATCTAGTCAATAACTCTCTGATTTTGATACTTTAACAGATGGAGGTTTTAACTATGCCATGTAGTTTCTGGTTATCAGCCGCTTGTTTTAAAAGGGTTCAAGGACTAATGAACTTTTTCAAGCTTACCCTTGGTTTGCACATACAACATATAGGCTATATGGGGCATTAATATTCTTTTGTTATTTAAAAAAAAAAAAACAAAAAGAAAAAACCCTATACAGATTCCGTTGTGTCATAACAGAGCACGCGAGGGGGAGAGCGCCCCCCCTCTGGCTCGCACTCGCCCGCGTCCCTCCGCATCACTGGCGTGTGTCCCACCCCCCCCACCCCCAGTGTCCACTGGTTAATTAGAATGGATAAGACGTTCAAACAAATGCCTCAGTTTCGATTCCTAGTATCTATTGTGTTGGCTTTACAGATAATTTTTTGCAGTCTTTTGCTGTGCTGTACATTACTGTATGTATAAATTGTGAAGGACCTGAGTTATATATGGTATAAGGAACTTTTGTAAATGAGAAGAAAAAAAAAAGACACACAAAAAAACTTCAATGGTTAATAGGAAGAATGGGAAAGTATTTTTGAAAGAATTCTATTTTGCTGGAGACTATTTAAGTACTATCTTTGTCTAAACAAGGTAAAAAAAAATTTCTTTTTGTAAAGTGAGATGCTCTGCATGCCTAATGAACCGTTTACAGTGTATTTAAGAAAGGGAGAGCTGTGCCTTTTTTAGCTTCACCTCTGATTTACCACTTTCCAGTCTCTGTTGTAAATAACCACACTGAAACCTCTTGGGTTGTCCTTAAGCCTTTCTACGTTGTCTGTACCTTCGTTTTGTCTCTGGTCTCCCGCGGGGGTGCTCGTGGGACCTGAGCATGTATTCCGGCCGCGGGCTGCGGGGTCCGCAGGGCCTTGAATGCGTCACTGGGTTCCTCGGTCCTCGAGAAGCAGAACCGGCTGCTGGTGAGAGCCTGTGACACGCAAGGGCTGGGCGAGCACAGTCCCATCCTGTTTTAGAGAAACACGACTTCTCCGGTGGGAATAGAAATCCCATGCTCTCGCTCCACCTGTGAAAGGTGACATGTTCACGTCTGGTCTTAGGAAAGGGTGTTGGCACTCCTAGCACGGGTCACGGGAACACGCAGGTTTGCAGGACACACCGAGAAAGATGCACGCCGGGCACGGTCAGAGCAGCGTGGAGACCGCGACATCATTAGAGGGTTTTTAGATTTTTAAAAGGTAGGTTTTAACAATACATTTTATACATAAAACAGTTTTGGGGGGGAAACACTACAGATCATATAAGCAAGACAGTGGCACTAAAATTTGTAATTCATTAATCTGTTTGGCACTGATGCATTTTACGGCTTTTCTCTTGCCCCAAATCACAAACATCTGTCTTTGGGGACACTTAGCAATACGATTGCACTAAATAAACTACTTTGACTAGAGGCCAAATCAATCTTTAAAAGTGATGATAATCATCAGGTACTCAGTGAAATCACAATATTTTCCAAAACCTACAAGCGGTAGCTGGAGAAGCCCACGGCCAGGAGAAGGCAGCGTTGGACCCACCCTTTTCTCCAGGGTTCACTGTGCAGGCAACATTACCCTGTCTTTCCAACAACACCTGCCTTATGCAAGGGGAAGCCTGTGAAAGTTGCACTCGGAGGGAGTTTTTCTTACATCATTTGCAATTTCAGGAATTTAATTTATAGGCAGATCTTTAAACACAGCTAACTTAACATGCACAGCAATATGAAAGCCACCCTCGGAAAGGAAAGATGCACCACATGCAGAGTGGGAGTTTCTAGAAAAGAAACTGCTTACACGAGCAGCTCTCAGCTCAGACTTACTTTTTACGCAGTCAGAATTCTGACGTAACCAGGTTTGAGATGGAGGTGGTCTGCGCCGGCTTCTCATGTTCATGGCTGTCCTGGCTGTTTGTGTGTCTCCAGGTAACTTTGCTTGGTTCAACAGCAAAGCCATATTCTAAATCCACTGCTGAATGCCTGTCCCGATCCAAATTGTCTGTCTGCTCTTATTTTTGTACCATATTGCTCTTAAGAATCTCGGTTTGGTACAATTCATAATTCACCAGAACTTCTTCATATAATTAAAAAGAAAACACACTAAATTAGTTTAAAAATGAAGCAATTTATATCTTTATGCAAAAACATATGTCTGTCTTTGCAAAGGACTGTAAGCAGATTACAATAAATCCTTTACTTAATCACCTGTTGTTTGGGAAACAGTTCATTTGAATGTCTATAGGAACATCTGGATTTTGTGTCCTCCTAAACTTTGATCACATGTGCTTCTGCCTACACCCAAGATGGGGTATCAGGTTTTTGGTGTTTCCCCACCATGTTAGAGACCTGCGTTAGCCACGTGTTAATTATACTCTTTGGGGACTGATTAGATGCCTTGTTTCTTAATATTTGGCCCGCTAAAATGCCCTATAAAAGTATGATTACTGCTAACCACTGTATCTACACATCGCCTCATTTATCTTGACAACTACATGAAAGGCTGTTCATTCTAGAGACTCACGTGAGTAGACCAGGTGCCCAGTCTGACTTCAGAGGTCTTCCTCCAGGAAGACTCAGGTCCCCGCTGGCCATGATGTTTCTCAGACTCCTTATAGACTTTCCTCAATTCTGCTCGTTAATATGAAACTCAGGAGAGCAGTAAGCAGTTATCAGCTCCTTTTAAAACGAGAAAACATTTTTCCCCACAAGGTAAATTAAAGCATAGCCACACACAGCTATGGGGATACGTCTGAGAACTGCATCGTCATGCAATGTCGTCATTGTGGGGACATTAACAGCGCTCACACAGACCTAGACGTGGTAGCCTGCTACACACCCGAGCTCCTGGGCTACAAACCTGCGCAGCATGTTACTGTACTGAATACTATAGATAACTGCAACACAATGTTAGGTATTTGTGTATCTAAACATAGAAAAGGTGCGGTAACAATACTGTCGAAAAGTTGACAATATTACATTCATACAGGCCATGTACCATGAATGGAGCTTGCAGGACCGGCTGTTTCTCTGGGTGAGTCAGTGAGCAGGTGATGAGGGAATGCGAAGGTCTGTGACATTACTGTATATGCTGTAGATTTTATGAACACGACACTGAAGTTACACTAACTTTATAAAACAACATGAAGTTAAATCAAGCATAAGAGAAAAGGGTGCATCAAGAGAGCATGGTAAACACGAGCTATGTAACCATGCTGTTTTACAGCAAACAATTTATAAGTAGAAAAAATACACTCTACAATAATGATAAAATTAAACTATAGAAAAAACATCAACTGGTAAGAAAGACATTTATGATCAAGTGTTATGTACTGTACATAACCGCCAGTGCTGCTCTCTTACACCACTGCTAGGTTTGTGTACACCAGCATCACCACAAACAAGTGAATAATGTATCACACAGTAATGTTACCATGGCTACGATGTCGCTGGTGGTAGGAATTTTTCAGCTCCATTATAACTGCAGAGACCGCGGTCATTTATGTGGTCTGCCATTGACCAGGAGGTCATTTTAACTGGTCATCATTCAAACCCATTTGCTTGAGAATGACAAGACTATTTGAGAGTTAAACAGATTCAACTTCAGTTAAACACAGTAGATATTTTTCTGGAACACCTCACAATCATTAAACACAACACTGGAAAAAATTCACTTAAAAAAACTAAAGTATGTACAAACTTGTAAGACATATATAATTGAAGATAGTTTTATATCTTAAAATTTAGGGAACTTGACATATTAAGGAGTAGGGCTTTTCACATAGAACCCATAATTTTAAACAAAAGCCCTCTGAGGCCATGAGCCCACCAAGGTTAGTAAGAGGCCACCCCAGTTGGCACCCTTGATTCAAGTGGGTGCCCTTTCTGAATAAAGCAGGCTCAGTGTTAGGCCAAGTATGACCATATTAAGAATTTCTAAGCGTGCTCTCAGACCCAAAGAATCCAGCTGCACATCGGCCCCTGCAACAGCCACCACTGTGGGCCAGGGCAGTGGGAACCTGCACCCTGATCATATATACTTAGGGGCTGGCTCGCTCTCCTACATTAAAGGCAAGTAGACAACAGTGTCCTTTTATGTCAAAGTCTGCTCTAACATTCTTCTTGATAAACCACAAGTGTTCACAGACCAAAATGACTTCATTATAAGTATCTCTGACACTTGAATTTCCTGTCATCCAATTGCCAATGCTGCTTTTTTTTTTTTTTTTTTTTTTTTTGAAATAAAACAGTGGCTTCCCAAACTGGATAAGAGGAGATTAAGATATGATCTGAATGATCAACATGGACCAAGAGTGTATTGGAAGCAAAGTGAATCATGGGGCAGAGTAGCTGGTAGTTAGCTGCAAATCCCCCCCCCCCCCCCCCCCCCCCACACACACAAACAATTAGTGGTTTACATCAATCACCAATCACCATGTATGACTTCTCATGACTGAGTCAGCCAGGAGGGTTCTGCTGATGTGGGCCAGGCGGGGCTGAGTCAGGCTTGTTCACGGACCGTGGGTGGCCAGCCCCCAGAAGCCAGCCTCATCCTCCAGAAGGCTGGCCTGTGCCTATTTTCATGGAGGAAGAAAGGCTCTAAGAAAGACAGTGGGAAGGTCTAACAATTTTCAAGCATTGGATTGCATCACGTTTGCTCCCGTTTCACTGGCCAAAGCAAGTGGCAAGACCAAGCTTACAGTCTGCATGGGAGGGCCCCTCAAAAAGGGCATGGGAAAGGGAGGTGTGAAATGGGGGGGGCAGGGGAGGTGTCATTAAATCCATCGACCACTAGCAATTACTCAGATATCTTCTTCATAGAATTGATGTTCCCAAGACAGTGGCTTCCAAGTGTTCATGGCCTAACAAACCCATTTCTTTGGCTCTCTATGGCCTGGGCCCGCCTCTCCAGAGAGATCATGGCTCCCTCATGATTGTGAAAACGCATGAATGGACCAGGCCACGTCCCTCCCACCCAGTTTGCTTCGCCTATAGTGTTTCCTCCGAGGCCAAACCCTCTGAGGAAGGAGAAATCCAGACTCTGACTCATGGCACTGAGCACTGAGCTGCCCCCATGCCTCCACTGCCCGAGTCCAAAGGACAGGTGTCCCGTTTGGGGCAAAAGCAGAAACCTGCCCCCCAATCGAGTTGATCTTCTGATAGGAAAGAATCTCCAAGGTAATTTTCCAACCAGAAGAATGAGATATGTTTAGCCAGGCATGAAAGCACTGGGACAATTAGCCAGCTTACCCGCATGGGGTAGCAACAAATGACTGCCCAGGCCGGTAAAGGGGAAAAGTGTGACAAGCCTCTGGGAAGACATAAGCAGAGGCAGGAACAGGACAGCCACTTTAGGATGCTCTCTTGATATAGCATCTTCCTGTGAAGGCAAGGGTGTGGGGGAGAGAAAGTCACATGGCTTAGGAAGGTTCAGACTCATGAGGAACATCTGGCTGAGGAAGGGGTGATCATGGCTGCCTTTGGACTTGAAGGGAGAACCAGGAAGAAGATGAGAAGGGGCCCAGCACTGAAGTGAATGGGGAGCGAAGACAAGGCCCAGGAAAGGCCAAACTGTGCTGGGCAGAGGGAAAGAGCAGGGAATGGCCTTTGGAGAAGGGACCCTGGAGAGAAGCGAGGAGGAGAGAAGGAAGAGGACAGACTAACCCACACCAGCACTGTACCCCACCTCCCCCCATCTTCTCCAGTCACTAACCATGCTTTTCGCCATGCACCCTTCAAGCATTTGCAAGCGTCACCATTTGTCACAGCATCTTAACGAGACAGGTGCTACTCTCTCCACTTCACAGCGGTAACTAAAGCTTAAAGAGCCCGAGTTAGCATGCCCAAGGTCAGCAAGGCAGAGTGAAAAAATGACTTCAAACCCAGCTGTTTTTAAACTCAAACCATACTTTGAGCCACTGTGTTAGTTCCCCATGGCTGCTATAACAAGCACTGCAAGCTGGTTGACTTAACCGAAATGTGTTGTCTCACCGCTCATAGTTCTGGAGGCGGCAAGTCCGAGCTCCAGATGCCAGCAGGAGGGTCGTGGGGAAGGGCTGCCCTCGGCCTCTCTCTGTGGCTTGCAGAGGCCATCTTCTCCTGTGTCTCTTCATGTGGACTTCCCTCGGCATGTCTCTCAGCAGCTAAGCAATACTGAGACACATAAGGACACCAGTCACATTGGATTAGCGCCCAACCCCGCTGACATCTTAACTAATGGCATCTGCAATAACCCTGTCTCCGAATAGGGCCACTTTCTGAGGTACTGGGGTCAGGACTTCCATATATGAATTTTGGGTGGGGTGGAGTTACAATTCAGCCCACCACCAGTATCCCCTTCTGGGCTCCTGGAGCAAAATGGCGCAGCACAAGGAACAGGTGAACAGCCCACTGAAGCAGAGCCAGCTCTTTGCCCTGGAGTGCCTCCCTTTTCTCATCAATAGGACAAGATCCTTCCCCGACTCCAATCCGCTGCTTTCCCCACCTCCAGCCTCAACGGCAGACGTTTCTGCCACAACAAGGAAGGGGGTGCGGCCCACACAGGCCTGTTCTGCCATGGCATCTCCTTCACAGGCACAGAGACCACCAGGCAGGCTCTAGGGTGACACCATCAGATGCAGGCCCCCTGCCCCACTGCAAACAGGAGACGCAGCTGAGTACCCTCTGGTGCCCAAGCCCCCACGTGCCTCTGGGTGAGCACCGCTACAGACCCCCTCAGACGCTGCAGCTGGTGCTGGACCAGGGGCGTGGGGGGGAGGGGTCTGTGCCCTGAGGTGGGAGCCATTGCCCAGACTCTTGGGATCAGCCACACCCAGGCAGCAAACACACAGAAAACAATGCACCCCATTTCTCTTCTGGGGAAATGAGGGTGATTTGCCAAATGTCAGAAAGCACCTCATGATCCTGTTAGTAAATCTACTCTGGGCTTGGCCCGGGGGAGGCTGCCCACGTGGGGACCCTGGCCACAGGGCCTGTTCGCAGAGAACAACGCCCCTGCTCTTCACCAGGTGTGCCAGGAAGGGTCTGCAGGGCGTGGGGCCGTGGGACCCTTGCAGCCAGCCCTGCAGGGCCTCACCATTCCCACACTGCCACCCCACAGAGCACCAATGGTCCTGACAAAGATGCAAGTGACAACCAGAGTGCCAGCAGTTCCATTAGCTGAGCAGGGATTATGTCCTGGGCATGATGTATTCGGTATGTCA